CTCTATAAGAGACGGAGAGGGGGAGGATGAGGAGGATGAGGAGGAGGAGGATGAGGAGGAGGAGGCGGTGGAGGCGGTGGCGGCGGAGAAGGAGGAGGAGGAGGCGGAGAAGGAGGAAGAGGAGAAGGCGGAGGAAGAAGATTACGAATAATAATAATAAATCAGAATACGAAGAAGACGATTCATAATCATTTTCAGATGAAGGAGACGGATACTGTTAATAGTGCTAAGACGAACAGGGCGATTCCGACTATTATTATTAGTAATAACAGTACTAATGCGAATCATATAGAAACGGTTAATAATAATAATCATAAGAAATATAGCAGTACTCATAAGAAGACGAATGCGATTCATAAGAGTAAAAGACTGATAATGCCAGTCAGACGAATACGAACCATGCAACTATCACCAACACTATTAGTAATACTAAGACGAATACTACGCATAATGATGTTAACACTAAATTTAAAGCATTATGACGCAGACTGATACCTCGAATATGAATAATACGAATATGAGTAATTATAATACTACTAATAATACTATGCATACTCATGATACGATCAGGAACAACACACCTACTACTACTGATATTAAGACGACCGTTTATATTCATGCACACATATTACTGCTACTAATAGCAAAAGTACTAAACATCATAATGTTACTAACACCCATCGTACAACCACTGCTACCACTACTACTGCCACTACTACTACCACTACTACTACTACTACTACTACTGCTACTGCGGCTACTACACTACTACTACTACTACTACTACTGCGGCTACTACTACTACTACTGCTGCTACTACTACTACTACTACTACTACTACGGCTGTTACTACTAGTATTACTACCACCACTACTACTACTACTACTACTACTACTACTACTACTACTACTAGAGCTACAACAACTACTACTACTACTACTACTACTCCTGCTGCTGCTGCTACTACTACTACTACTACTATTGTTGCTGCTGCTACTACTACTACTACCACCTACCACTACTACTACTACTACTACTACTACTACTACTACTACTACTACTACTACTACTACTATGACTACTACTACCACTACTTGCTTACTACTACTAGCTTACTACGACTACTACTACTAGCTTAATACCACTGCTCCTACTACTACTACTGCTACTACTACTGCTACTACTACTACTACTACTACTTACTACGAACACTACTACTACCACTACTAACTACTACTACTACTACAACTACTACTACTACTACTACTACTACTACTACTACTACTCTAACTACGACTAACTACTACACTACTACAACTGCTACTACGACTACTACTACTACTACTACTACTACTAACTACTACTACTACTACTACTACTACTACTACTACTACTACTACTACTACTACTACTACTACTACTACTACTACTACTACTACTACTACTACTACTACTACTACTACTACTACTACTACTACTACTACTACTCCTGCTGCTGCTGCTGCTACTACTACTACTGCTACTGCTGCTGCTGCTGCTACTACTACTACTGCTCATCATACGGATACTCGCAATATTACGACGACTTCTAACACTAATATTAATCATCATAGGAGGAGGCGGAGGAGGAGGCTCGGAGGAGGCGGAGGAGGAGGAGGCGAGGAGGAGGAGGAGGAGGAGGAGGAGGGTAGGAGGAGGGAGGAGGAGAGAATGAGGCTCGGAGGAGGCTCGGAGGAGGCGGAGGAGGAGGAGGAGGGGGCGGAGGATGCGGATGAGAGGATAGGCAGAGAAGGCAAGAGGTGGAGGCGGCGGAAGAGGGCGGAGGTGGAGAGAAAGGAAAACGAGGAGAGGCTCGGAGGAGGACGAGGAGGAGGAAGGAGGAGGAGGAGACTGAGGAGGAGGAGGAGGAGGAGGAGGAGGAGGAGAGTTGAGGAGTTTTTGGAGGAGTTGGAGGAGGAGGAGGAGGAGGAGGAGGAGGAGTTGGAGTTGGAGGGAGGAGTCGGACAGTTGGAGGAGTTGGAGGAGTTTGGGAGTTGGAGGAGGAGAGATGGAGGAGATTGGAGTTGTTGGAGTTTGAGTTGGAGGAGGAGGAGGAGGAGGAGGAGGAGGAGGAGGAGGAGGAGGAGGAGTTGGAGGAGGAGGAGCAGGAAAGAGGGGGGCGTCATGGCAGGGTGGCTCTGCGCCACGTGCGGCTCCTCGCGAGGTCCCTCGCCCAGGAGCTGGGAGAGGACGAGGGCAGTTCGGCGGCGGCCAGTGCCCTGAAGCAACGCTGGGACGCCCAGCTGTCGGTCGCCCTGCAAGCGGCGACGGCCCGGCAGCTGCGCACGTGCCTCGGGGGCGACTGCGCGGCTGGTGCGGCCGCCCTCTTGGAGGCGACGGCGGATTGAGCCGATCGTGCGCGCGCTAGCTGGCCATCGGTCTCGTGCGCGGTGCATTCAGGACTTCCGCACCCCCCGCTGCTGCTTGCTGGCCCGCCTCTGTCCTCTTCCTTCCACTCTGCAGCAACAGCAGAAGGGAAGATGGAACGGAAAACACAGATGAGCGAGGGGAGGACTGCATGTTGGGCTATAAGGGGCCGGGACACATGCGCAGCCCGTGTGCGGCGTGCCCGCGACGTGCCGACAGCGTGCACGCCTGTGCAAAAGCACGGTAGGCGCGGCAAACTTATACAGTGGAGACCCATGCCAAGTACCACCGTGCATGCCTCCAGGGTGCACTGGGTGTCGTCGGTTTCGGTTGTTTTTGCGGTAGACAACGTGACGTTCCCACACCGCAAATCAAGGGACGCCCTGGGGTTCCAGGGTTGGATTTCTCGTGGAAGGTTTCTTGTGGTCGGGCTCCTACTCTACCCACGTGCGGGTTTCGAACGCGTTCGCGACTAATTTGGCGCTCGCGGCGGATTCGTTTTGTTGACCGTCCATTTGACAGTGCCTGCGGCCCGCGCGAGAGAGCGAACGACCCGCCTGCGGCCCGCCCGCAGTCTGCCTGCCAGCCGTCGAAGGAAACCGGATGCGTTGAACTCGCCTGCGCTCGGAGCGCACGTGACGCGAAGATCCACGCCGACGGGGGCCCGTCCCCTCTCACGCCTTAGACCTGGCCTGGGCCGGGGAGCCACGCAGGGCCGACCCCCCCCCGGTTCCCCCACCGACCTGGGCTCGGGAATCGCTGTGCCGTCGGTGTGGGTACGGGGCGCGACTCTGGCCGACCCGGGGGTGCGCTGGCCCGGGCGCTTCGGCACGTTCCCGAGGCGCTGCGTCCCCGTGCGGGCTGGGACCACGGGCGGTTCCGCTCGGGCGCGGGGCGCGGCAGAGGCGGGCCTCTCTGCGCCCGTCCCGCCCGTCGCGTCGCCGTGCGCGGGCCCCCTCGGTTTCGGCTTCAGCTGCCGGCCCCGGTGCTTCGAAGCGCTGTTCGTGTTCACCTGTTCGCCGAGGGGGTTGAGCATCAGGCGGGTGTGGGGCGCGTGGTTTTGAAGGGGCCAGCCCCCTCTAAAGGTCCTTCTCGTTCCCTGAAAAAGCCACCGCCCGCTGAGCGCGCCGCCCAGCAGCTGGGCGGCGCGCGTGGCAGCTGGCAGCTGGCAGCTGTAGTGATAACGTCAGGAGGTCTTTACTTTTGGCCCCCCTTTTCATTCGGCGGTGGATAGGATTGGTTCTAAAACCTCTTCCTCCTGTTCCCCCCTCTCCCCCCTCCTTTTCCTCCTCTTCCTACATCCTCCTCCTCCTCCTCCTCCTCCTCCTCCTCCTCCTCCTCCTCCTCCTCCTCCCCTGTTCCTGTTCCTCCTCTTCCCCCAGCAATCGTAGTCGTAATTGTCGTCGTCGTGGTTGCCCGGCGGGTGCCGCAGAGACAGATAAGTAGTTGCCCCGCATCTGTGGGTCCCGAGTCGCTCCAAAAGGCCGCCAGAAAAAAAATCATTCACCCCCCATTGGAGGGGGGCTCGGAAGACTTATCGCGGTTATGCTGTCGCTGGCGGCGGGAGGCACGCTTCGAGGCGCGCGCCATGGCCCCAGGGGTGCTCCATGCAGCTGCAGTGCGTTCGTTGCTGCGGCCGCTGTCTTGTACTCTCTACCGGTTTCGGTGCTCCTCGTGGAGCACAGCGGTGGTGGAGAGCGAGATGGAAGAGGAGTTCTGCTGACGTCGGCGAGTTTGCGACGAGCACTCCAGATTCTGAGGGCTGCGGCCCATTCGGCTCATCCCCCGAGGGACGCGCTCTGGCGCGATGGTGGCGGTTCGTTCGTTCGTTCGTTCGTTCGTTGTCCTCTTCGCTCCTTGACCTCCTGGTTCTCGTGGTCCTAGTTGTCGTCCTGGCGTCCGTCGCCGTCGCCATTGCCGTCGCGGTCATCGCCGTCGTCGTCTTCCTCCTGGAGCTTTCTTTCGATCGTTGTCGCCGTCGTTGCCATGTGCTCTTGTATTGGGTTAAGCTGTGCACGGACCTAAGTGCCATCTGGCGCTGTAGCGTCCATGCTGCAGGCAGGGAACATGACAACACTTTCCGACTCAAGCGACGTGGCCGTAGCGCGTTTGTAACTTAGTAGGGTGACCGGATGGGGTGAGGAACGCGATCGAAAGAGAGAACCGCAGAATATAGAAACAGAAAGAGAGAGAGAGAGAGAGAGATAGAGAGAGAGAGAGAGAATTTGCCCAAGCAACTGGACGAGCAAACGCGGAGGTGAGCCTTGTCGTCCTGTTCTTGAGTGTCCTGACGCCCGATTTCGCCAGTCATTGCCAGCAGGGGCCTTGAGCCCGGGGCCGGTGTCGGCACGGGGCCCCACACGTCCTCGGCCAAGCCCAGCCTTAAGTCGGGCCTGGCCCTCCACAGGGGGAATATCCACAGATGGTCAAGACATCGTCTGGGGACGATTCTTGGACGATGTTTAATTATTTTTTGGGTAGTTTTGGGTATCCTTTTATATCTTTCGTCCCCGATCCGCCTGTAGGGGGACGTGCCCGACCTGGGTCCAGCCTCTCTCCTCGGCCCCCTGCCCGCCCTGGGTCGCCCCGCGCAGGCGCCTGCAGCTGGACGCACTGGATGAACATGCTGGCGCTCCTCGCCAGCGCCGCCGTCGCGTACCTCGACTATTCTGGACCCTTCTCCTCTCTCTTGGGGGCCCCAAGCGGCGTGGTGACCGCACCGCATGGTGACTCGGTGGGGGTTCGATGGTCACCGCGAGAGGACGTCTCGGGCGACGGGTTTCGAGGTCCCAAGGCCGTGCGGTGACGGACCGCGCTGTGATGTCTCTTGGGATCTCGATGCCAAGGAAGGGGAGGAGGAGGAGGAGGAGGAGGAGGAGGAGGAGGAGGAGGAGGAGGAGGAGGAGGAGGAGGAGGAGGAGGAGGAGGAGGAGGAGGAAGAAGAGCAGGTTGAAAAGGACATGGAGATGGACATGGACATGGACATGGACATGGACATAGATATGGACATGGACATGGACATGTACTTTGACACGGACACGGACACGGACACGGACATGGACACAGACATGGACATGGACATGGACATGGACACGGACACGGACACGGACACGGGCACGGACATGGGGCATACGCAGCAGTCCGACTGCGCGCCGCCGTCGCGGTGGCAGTGAACAATTTTCGACGCTGGAGCGGCGACGAGCATCCCGAGGGTCCCACCTGGCCCTTCCAGGAAGGAGGACCGTTGCCAAGACGCCACCACTCCCGCGGGGACGGATACCAACGGGCAACCGAACGCGGCCGCAAGGGCCGCCCCCAGGAACTCCGCGGGCCCGAAACGGGCAGCCCCCAGGCCGCCCCCAGAACCGGACTTTCGAGCCGAGCCCGGCAACAGCACACTTCTCGCGCCCACTCAGCCCTGGAACCAGCATCTCTAGCGCCAGGGAGTACCCGTACTCGACGCCGAAGGGGTCCCCACATCCCCCATCGCGAGTTTGCAGCCCACTTGGCCCAAGGAGGGACAGGGCCGAAGCTGGATCGCAGCCGTGTGCGGCCCTTCGCGCTGCCTCCGCGCGCGAAGGCCTGGGTGGGGCAGGCTCCTCCTCGCCACCCGGCCATCCTGGCCGCTTCTCCTCCTCCTCCTCCTCCGCCTCCTCCTCCTCCGCTCTCCGCCTCCTCCTCCGCCTCCTCCTCCTCCTCGGCCTCCTCCTCCTCCGCCTCCTCCTCCGCCGTCCTCCTCGGCCTCCTCCTCCTCCGCCTCCTCCTCCTCCGCCTCCGCCTCCGCCTGGCAGGCCAGAGGTCGCGGTCGGACGTGAGCGAGGCTGCCTCGCTGCGCCCGCCCCTCACGGCGGACGCGCTCGCCACGGTCCCGTCGCTCCCCCGTCGGGTCCGCGAGTGCACCGCCTGCTCGGCCGCGACGGTCCTGACGCTGCTGGCGACGCGCTGCGCCGACGGCGCCTCCACCGCCGGCAGGGTCTCCGGCTCAGCGACCTCGAGCCGCCCCGGGGCCAGGCGGGCGGCGCGCGCTGCGACCACCCGCGAGTGGGCCACCCGGGTTGGCCACGGTCACGGGGCCGAGGCGCTGCTGGCGGCCATGCTCGATTCGCCCCGGGGTCATCGCTGCAGATGCCAACCCCGCTCTCGAAGGCTTGCTTGCTGCCGTCAGCGAGGTGCGGCACCGCCTGCACCCCCAGCGTCGTCTCGCACTGCTCCTGCTCGGAGTCGCTCTCGAGGCCCGCGCCGCCGACGTCGACCCCCCTCCCGATCTCCACCTCCGCGGTCAGCTTGGGGAAGGCGGGGACGGCGGGGAGCGCGAACGGATTGCTCTCGTCCTCCTGCTCATCTCCAGCGTCGACGCCACGAAGATCATCAGCCTGACAGTCCCCTCCAGCGCCTCGTAGAGCTTCTCCAGCGTCGTCGCCTTGAAGACCGCCCCCTAACAGTTTCCTTCGTCGCTTCGCGGAGCTTCTTCAGCCTTTGGAGCTCCTCCAGCGTCGTCGCCTTGAAGACCGCCCCCATGGCGATCACCTCCTGCGACACGCGGGGCTTCATCAGCATCATCGGCATGAAGATCACCACGCCAGTCACCTCCACCACCTCGTGGAGCTTCACCAGCGTCGTTGCCTGAAAGACCGCCTCCACGACGGTCACCTCCAGCGCCTCGTGATTCTCCAGCTTCGTCGCCATGAAGACCGCCCCCATGACGGTCTTGTCCAGCACCTCGTGGAGCTTCTCCAGCGCCGTCGCCACGCCATGAAGACCGCCCCTCTGACGATCTCCTTCAGCACCTCGTCGCCTTGAAGACCGCCTTCACGACGATCCCCTCCAGCGCCTTCTGGAGCCCCTTCAGCGTCATTGCCATTAAGACCGCCACCACGACAGTCTTCTCCTGCGACGCGTGGATCGTTTTCAGCGTGACCTCCATCCTTCTCCAGGTCCTGCGGCTCGACTTTGAAATCCTCGTCCACGTTCACCGACGAGCTCCTCCACCAGCAGATCGCTCTGCACGAAGGAGTGTCCCTCCAGGACCGCGCCCTTCGCACGGAGCTTCGCAAGTGGCCCAGCAACGGCCGCGCTCATCCCAACCTCAGGCCCGCACAAGCGAGCCATCCCGAAGTGCGCTGGTGCAAGCTGGGGCGGCGGCCGCGATCCGCGCCCGCCCTTATGGCCCCAGCCGGGATGGCCAGGAGAAGGACGAGGAGTAGGAGGAGGAGGAGGAGGAGGAGGAGGAGGAGGAGGAGGAGGAGGAGGAGGAGGAGGAGGAGGAGGAGGAGGGAAGGGAGGAGGGAGGAGTGAGGAGGAGGAGGAGGAGGAGGAGGAGGAGGAGGAGGAGGAGAGGAGGAGGAGGAGGAGGAGGGGAGGAGGAGGAGGAGGAGGAGGAGGAGGGGGGGGCAGGATGGATCCCAAATAGATATGAACCTGGGTTTATCATGTTCCGGGATTATTGACCAGGGTTCATAATGTCTCCGCCGGAACATTCTGAACCTGGGTTTTAATGTTCCGGAAATATTGAATGGGGTTCATCATGTCCCCCCCCGGAACATTACAAACCCTGGTTTATAATGTTCTGGGCCTACCGATCCCAAAAAGATGTTAACCTGGGTTTATAATGTTCTGGTGACCAGGGTTCATAATGTCCCGGGAATAATGAACCCGGTTTTTGTAGTTCCGGAATGATAATACTTTGTTTATTTTCCCCCTGACGCCCGGGTGCCGCACCAGGTTTTTCATGTTGGAATATTGATCCAGGTTCCTTATCTCCAGGAGATAATAAACCTGGTTTCATAATGTTTCCGGAATATTGACCCCGGGTTAATTATTCTGGAATGATAATGATTCAGCCGAGGGGGGGGGGTGTTGGAGAGTACTGACCGGATTGAAATAGACCGTGGTCCATAATGTTAGAATAATAATCTTCGGTTGATTATTCCGGAAAGATAGTGATTCAGCCGGGGGGGGGCTCAGCTTGATCCATCCACAGGACAATAAACCACAGGGTATCATCTGAAGATAACGAACGTAGGTTTATCATTCCTTGATAATGAGCCACGGTCGACGAGGATTTCGCACCTACCCTCCAGGATGGGAGGAGGAGGAGGAGGAGGAGGAGGAGGCGGAGGAGGAGGAGGAGGAGGAGGAGGTGGAGAAGGAGGAGGAGGAGGAGGAGGAGGAGGAGCGGGATAATCTTGAGGAGGAGGAGGGGGAGTCTTAATCATAGTGGCACTAATCATAATGTGATGTTCTTGATAGTTTCGATCACAACCATATTTCCTAGTAGTAATTGTGAGACGGATTCAACTACTAGTCACATTAATACAAATCGTAGTGCTAGCACGAAGAAGGCTAACACGATAACTAACACAATGACGAAGAGGAGGATACATACGACTAACAATCAGACGACGAAGTATACTGTTAATACCAGGAATACTCAGACACATCATACGAAATACGACAATCAGCATACGAACCATACTTCCACAGTAAGGATACTTACACAACTAATACTCGTATTGCTACTTGTACCAAGTCTACTGATATCACTTCTAAGGGGACTACTCTTTATCCATCGACCTCCGAACATACATGATTAATAGTAGTAGTAGTAGTAGTAGTAGTAGTAGTAGTAGTAGTAGTAGTAGTAGTAGTAGTAGTAGTAGTAGTAGTAGTAGTCGTAGTAGTAGTAGTAGTAGTAGTAGTAGTAGTAGTAGTAGTAGTAGTAGTGTAGTCGTAGTAGTAGCAGCCGTAGTTGTGGTAGTAGTAGTAGTAGTAGTAGTAGGTAGTTAGTAGTAGTAGTAGTAGTAGTAGTAG